GGGTCGGGGGGGGGGGGGGGGGGGTGGTTGCTGGGGAGAAGAGACAATAGTGCTACGATGTCGAGAGTGCACAATATTTATGTAAACTTGGGCCATTAATTGTGGCACATGGTGATCCACCATCATAGGCGGTCTACCTTAGAATCCTATTGCAAGTGATTCGGGGCTATAAACAAAAAGAAATCCCGTACCAAGATGGTTGATTTTGCTATAAAAGTTTAGATATTTGCCGGCTGTGCACTGCAAGTGATTCAGGAGTATAAACAAACACACCATTAAATGCAAAATAAACCTCACAAGAACACTATGCATTCATACACTAACAACAACAAAAAAATTGTAAATCACTAAACCACCAAGCCACATTCTTCTCATCAATAAAACACATACACGAACCATTGAAACATTGTAAATCCCAAGCGCAACCCGCACTTGAAATCATGAAATCCATTAATACAATCCTACAATGGCAAGCCACATTGGATCTATATTAAGGGTAATACATATCACATCAACTACCACATTACAACTGCCCATCGCCTATTCAGCTGGTTGTTGCTTAGATGTTTCCTTGATCTCATCTCCAGCATCATCCTGAGATATCAAAGGCCATTCAAGTTATAAAAAAAAAAAAAAAAAACCAGAAAAAATAATATCACCACAAATCAATATAAAGCTGATAGAGAGGAACAAAAAAAAGCCAACTCCAACATTATATGTTAAAAGAGAAATTACTAACACTCTTTTTAACGCATTCTTATGAACACACTCCTTACTCAAAAATCATGTCTGAAAGCTGTCAACGGCAAAAGAGAGCATGGTTGGGGTAATGCATTAGACATGGACATTGGTCAAGAATATGTGCCAACTGTTTCTGTCATTGTTTCAGCAAGTATGAGGATAAAACTAAACTAGTCCATTAACAAAAGCTCAAAGCCTAACTCCTACAGTACTACATGGCACCAACAAAAACAAAAAAGACGCTCCAAAGGAAAGGGAAGAGTACTTAGTATTGGAGCTTGGACAATTAGAAGAAATTACAAGCAGACAAGTTTAAATTTGTTCCTAACTTTCGTTAGCTTGACTCTTACAATGAAAGATTTTTGTTGTCGGTATTCAGCTTATTAAAGAATTACTGATGATGGCTTGTTCCTTTACAATATAATTTCGTCCAGCCAAGAGTAGACATAAAAAATAAAGGATTAAGCAATGTACCAAGAAAAAAATTTATTTCAAAGTCCACAGTCAATCGCAAATCAAGAAACATTTAGTATAACTATATAACTGTATAAATAGCAATAAGAGAGAGAGAGACAGACCGTGATGTCTGATGTCCACAAAGTCAGATTGTCACGGAGGAGTTGCATGATCAATGTACTATCCTTGTATGACTCTTCACCCAATGTGTCAAGCTCAGAAATTGCCTCATCAAATGCCTGCCAGAGTTAAGTATTTTTCACAAATCACTAAAGAGAAAGCAGAATAGAGACTACAATGCATGAAGAAAAACAAACACATCATATAGTCTTTACACCCATCATAATTCATAACACAAATGGGAAGCACCAAACACCATAATACATCAATATTGTCAAAAAAGAAAAACGTAAATTGACTAAGGAACCGACAGTATTGAAATCAGAGTACCAAATTGCTAAGTTCAATCTCTTAACAAAGAGCTAATTTCCTACAATTTTCTTCAACAAAAATAACTAATATTATACAAGTGCATTTGATATAATATATCAGTCTCCAAATTACATTCATTGTGACTTTTGTAAGCAAATTTCACTTGTTTGGTTCAAAAACAGTTATTTTAAAGCAAAGTAAAGCAGATGGACAGGACAAATTTCCATGTAGCAAGATAGAGTATCTTGAGCCTCACTGGTTGACTACAAAAAAATTACAAGTTTTTACCAGCAAAGACTGAAGTCTACACTCTATAACACGTATATATAATTTCTTCATGGGTGAACAATTGAGATATACCTGCTTGGCAAGGTTACAAGCACGATCTGGTGAGTTAAGGATTTCATAATAAAACACAGAAAAGTTGAGAGCAAGTCCAAGCCTAATCGGGTGGGTGGGGGCCAGGTCAGCAAGAGCAATATCCTGCATCAAGCAAAAACAAATTTCAATTTGAGCAACACAGCAACTTGTAACCACCACAATTCCATAAAAGCTACATAAACAGCAACCTACCTGAGCCGATTTGTAAGCAAGCAATGTACTCTCTGCAGCCTCTTTCCTCTCTGCCCCAGTCTTAAACTCAGCAAGGTACCTATGGTAATCACCCTTCATTTTAAGGTAAAAGACTTTGGACTCGGGAGTTGCAGCAGAGGGGATGAGGTTGGTCTCAAGGAGGTTCAAAATCCCATCACAGATCTTGCTGAGTTCAGCCTCAATCTTGCCCCTGTACTCCTTTATAACGGTCACGTGGTCCTCGTTGCCTCTACCCTCCTCCTTCTGCTCAATGGAGGAAATGATCCTCCACGAAGCCCTCCTCGCCCCAATCACGTTCTTGTAAGCCACGGAGAGAAGATTCCTCTCCTCCACCGTCAACTCCTCAACCTCCACCGTCTTCGCAACCTTCTCCATGAACTCCACCATCTCCTCGTACCGCTCAGCCTGCTCCGCCAACTTCGCCATGTAGACGTTCTCCTCCCGAGAATAATCTGTTGCCGCCATTTCTCAGATTCGCCTAATCCTACAAGTAAATTTCCCAATATTAGGCAATCTCCAAGTGATTCGTGAACACTTCTCTTCTTCTTCTATATATATATACTTTATTAACACCTGTCATTTTTTCATCTCAATTTCTCTTTAGTCTTTCCACATCACGTGTTATTTCTACACTTCTCTTCTAGTTATTTCTCTGACTATGTGTTAAAGTATTGACTAATCATTTTATTTATTTTTACTCAATTCAGCATTTAGCGAATCTTGATCTGTTTCTCGTTTTATTTAAAGAGATGATGAAATTGAAATCAGCGTAATCGAGATGCAAATGAGGTAAATCAAGCAGAAGAAATCGGAAATAAAAAAAAAAAAAAAGGCGAAAATGAAAACATAGAAACAGATGCAGATCTGGATGAATGAAATGAAACCTAGGAGGAACAAAATAGAGAAAGGAAAAGGCGCAATGGAAACCCTAAAAAGAAATGGTGATGTAAGAGAGACAGAGAGAGCGAACCTGAAGGAGAGAGAAAATTTTAGAAAAAAATGGAAATGGGGAAAAGATGGGGAAAGGGAGGCTAAGATATAGGAGAGGTGAGGTCCAATAGGAGTGTGACACGTGGTGGGTGGCGGAGATTCCGTGGAAAGTGGGAAGCGTTGACCGTTTGTAGTAGCGTGAGTTGGGTGCTGTGGTGTGTGGGACCCATTGCCTCGCACTTCACGCTGACATACGTCATGCTTTTCGTGTCTCTTTGCTTTTCTGTCTTTCTCAATTCCCGCGTTTTCACTCGACCCGCAAAATTACTTTATTTTTAAATTATTCATTTTTATTTTTATTTTTTACTATCAAAATCCTTCTGTTTCTGTTTCTTATTCTATTTCTATTGGGTTAATGTGTCATTTTTCCGTAATATTTAATATACTATAATTTATTTTATTATGCATTGGTGTGTATATTAACTTTGATTTTAATTATTTTTTATTTTTCTAACTTCTTAAAAAATTAGTTTTATAATTAAAAAATTATTTTAGGAATATCATTTTTTTATCTTTATAATTATATAATTTTTTTTAGTTCTTATAATTATATAACTTTTTTTAGTCTCTATAATTATATAAACATTTTTTTTAATTTTTATAAAAATAAATTATATGAATTAAAAAGAGAAGAAAAAAAGCGTGTATAACTAAAATGAAAATTTTTAATTATAATCATTAAAATGTAAAATTTATAAGACTATCGAGATTAAAAAGATAATTAAACATTAATTTTATTGATATAGTATGAAATGGTTAACAAATACAACTGTTTTACAAGCATGTAATTGGTGGTTTGTCCTAGTTTATGAGTATAGGAAAATATATTTTTTTTACGGAGATCAATTATTTAAATTGATTTTAGTATCTCAAAGATTAGTTATTGATTTTGATTAAAGGATACTCTGATTAAAAAATATATATTTATATACTACTTTTAATTTAATATTTTTTGACAATGTATGCGTGGACTCGTGTTTGCATTTTTCTTATTTCTTGAATAATATGTGAGGTTTGTAAAAAAGAATAATAAATTTTTGTAAATCAATTTTAAAAAGACAAGATATGACATGTGACTTATAAAAAAGAATTTAGAAAATATTATTATGGGTTAAAATATGATATTTTTATTTAAATTAATTTGAATTACTTACGACGAGCTCATTAAAGTGATATATACATCTTGGTAGACAACTCATTGTTGAACAGGAGTATTTTTCATGTTGAGAAACTATGAACCAAATGGATTTTAACTTCACCTAAATCATAAATGGTAAAAAAACAAAAAACAAAAAAAAACGTTGGTTAGGATGGTACATATTTGCTGCAATTATAATCACTAGATTCCGTCAAATAACTAAAGATTAGTGTAATATATGTACGATTTAAAATTCAAATGCTGTTGTTATTATTATAATTTATACAATATTTTTTATACTAGAATTAAAAAGGTTTGATTATTTAAATATAAGACATGAATATTATCTTTTGGTTCTGTCAAGGAATTTCTCTCGCCCGCTTGACTGAATCAGAGACAAGACAAAGATAACACAAGATGTAATATTATATATAAATATTTTTTTAAAAAAATATCTTTTTTTTATATATATGAATACACATATAAAATCAGCTTTTAAAACTTATTTAGATATAAGTTAAAAGTATCTTATCTATTTAAAAAAAAATAGTTTTTTTAGAGAAATACCTAAATTTGTATATAAACATGTTCGTAATTATATATTTTTTAAGCATGTTAAAAAATATTTTATTTTTTACTCTACTTGCAAAGAAACCATTTTTGTAAGACGTAAATAAAATATTTTAATACATAAAATATTTTTTAAAAATATTTTAAATATTATTTTTTATTCAAAAATTAATTTTTATCTCAATAATGGATTTATAAATTAAAAATCAATAATCTAAGCAGTAAAATAATGACCAATTTAATTGTTAAAAGTTACTAAAAAAATTGTAGCCAATTTTCATTTATTTTTAAATACGTATACACACATTTAAAACAAAAGTTCACCTACTATGATAAAGTATGTGTATTTGTCAAATTTAGTATAAACTTTACTGTGTTTTACAAATTTGTTTTGTTTCCTACAAATAAATATCATTTAATGGATCACGTCATTTAATGGATCACCTAATTTAGCATTGTTTTTAAATAACCCCCGCCCCCCCTCTCCTTTTTTTCAACTATAAATAACAGAACGGATGTATTTTTTCATTTAGGATTTCTTTTTCATTTTGACTTTAACTAATTATATAGTATACAAATGATACTCTATCAAAGTCAATGAATGCATAAGTAGGGTAACAATATATGGGAAAGTACGTATATAGGGTGGTCCTTTACATGCACTACATATTTATAGGGATTTAGGTGTAGATTAGTTATAGTGAAGCCATTTACCATCTATATTTAAAATAAATCTATATTATACTTTATTAATATTATTTTTCATCAATAGTATTTGACTTTTCATCTTTTAAAGTTTACTTTAGCATTAAATAATGACATCTCAAATTTTTCTATATTTTTTACCATAATTTTATGTCATTGATAAAAAAAAATAATTCTCTTTACACAATAAAATTACTTACATATCCAAGAATTTTAAATTGAATATACACCATAATTTTATTACGTAGCTCTATATATATAGAGTAAAATTGGAATACAAAATTTAAATACTATAATCAGAAAATTTATATATATTATAGATGATAAAATAAAAAATGACTATAAACAAATATTATCCGTTAACAAACTGCTGTAAGAAAAAAATGGTTATTCTCTTTTCTTTTAATGATTATCCATTTATGTACCGGTATCTACAAAGTAAATTCACTATAACAAACCCCAAGTGTGTGGTTCAGCGGTAGGGGTTGATCCACGCTTAAACAAGGTCAGGGGTTCGAATCCTGCATTGGGTATGCAGTCGCGTTAAATCTTGGGGCCAGCTATCCCACCCTTTGAGGTGCCTCCAACGTAACGAGGAGATTAGTCACTGCTGTCGGCGGTGGATACTCTAAGGACGAACAAAAAAAAAATCACTATAACATAAAATGACTTGATTGTTAAATATTTTGAATCCTTTGATGGGAGAAATGTGGCAGGATGCTAAGAAATCGTTGGTTGGACTTGGAGCGCATAAAGCATTTGTATGTGATATGCTTGCTTTTGTCGACCTCACATCTCACGTGTGCATTCAGCCTGAATTTTACGAGGTTTTTCTAAAACATCAAATACCTTTTGTTATCTCTACACTATGTACAAGATCCTCTACTTTCACTTGTTACTCTCTTCTAAAATATTGAGTCTAATAATTATATATTCTCTATAATATCTAATTAACTAGATTAATTAAATAAAACTCAATCCCTCATTAAGATTTTTCAAACATTAATTACCTAGATTGCAAAATGATCAAGTGAAAAAATAAAAGGTTAATTTAAAAGATGTTAGAAATAATTTTAAGAAAATGATTTAAATTATTGACAAATTCAATACTTTTAACTAAACACACTTTCTTAATGAATATAATTTAATTAAAAGAGTCTTATAATTAGGAACAAAATTATTATTAAAAGTTATCTTATTCGAACTACGCAGAATTATTATAAATGATAAAATTTTCTTTTTAAGGTATTTAAGGCAGTAGCATACATATAACTCAAACTTAAAATTTCTAATTAAACTATAACAACCTCGTATCAACTGCTTCACGCACTAGTGAGATACCAAGTCTTTATTGCTTTTGTCAATGCTTAATGGCCAGCGAATTATCGTGGCTGCAACTACTTTTAATCTTACTTTTCATGATCATCTGCTATGGTGAAAACCATGGCTGCAATTGCATTTAATTGTTCTTTATCGTGTTCATCTGCTATTGTGAAAGTATCTAATTTCAACTGATTATGAAACTCAACTAGAGAACATGCCTTGAAGTTGGTAGTTCTACATTCTCATCTATTTCTTTTACTGTTTCATTTTTATCTTTGTAGTTCCATTTGTAACACCCCAATTTCTTTAAAAGGATATTTTTATTAGTAATGGCATTTCTGTAATTACTGAGGACATTTTCGTAATTTTATAAAGGTATTAGGGGTATTTGAGTATCTCGGAACGGGCTGTTCCGAAAGTGGAACGGGCCGTTCTGAGCATTAAAAATAAGCTAAAATTTTAGGTTGGGAACGGGCCCAGAACGGGCCGTTCCAACAAGGAGAACGGGCCGTTCCGGAGGGAGAACGGGTCGTTCTGCTGAGATTGAGAACGGGCCGTTCTGGTTTCAGAACGGGCCGTTCTGCTTTTTGAGAACGGGCCGTTCCGATTTTGGAACGGGCCGTTCCAGTTGAGAAATTTGCCCACGTTTGAAGGATCCGGAACGGGCCGTTCCGAA